CTATCTCATATTTCTATCTCATATTTCTATCAACATCAATATTAACAAATATACCTTCTCAGATATCTCACATCTATGTCTCATATTTACATCACATTTCTAATACATCTACGGCAACATCTAAACACCAAGTCCATCGCCAAAACATCGCCAAACCTCACAAGAGATCGCCCGATAGGTACGCTCCGGCAAGGCCTATTGGGTAAACCTGGGAGAAGCGTTAAGAAAGCCCAAGTACCACCACATCGCCTCCAAAAACATCGCCATACATCGACAACAGACGCTTTTTCAACTTACCAATCCAGAGGAGTTCGGATCGCACGCGGAAAATCCTTATCGACCCCGCCATTTCCTCCGCCTTGACAGATTCCATTCCAGCAAGAACAAGATACGATATATTCGATCCCATGGCTCAGACTTCAATCATCATCTAACAGCAACAGAACAAAAATATATAATTTCTAACACCTAGATCTTCCCGGGAATACAAGCACCACTCAACCTCCCACGACACAGTTACTAATTCCAGTATTCACATGTAGAGCGCCAGCACAAAACCAACATCACAATGTAAAACCTGGAACGATTTAAATCTCTAGAGAAAAGAAAAGCAGACGTAAAAATATAAGGGGAAGAGGATATTGCATGGGCATTTTGGAACATGGCTGGTCGGAATGTACATGCGTTTTAGCCTGGAGTGAGGATGGAAAGAGAAGAGGAAATAGTAAAAGTAGATTAAGATAACACTGACAATGTAGATTTAGATAGTATCGATAGTTGAATAGACCTAGATAGCATCGATTTCTCGGTACCTTCCAGATCCGAACATCAATGTTGGATTTTGGCAGGTGCCTTCCTCTCAAGAGGGAAATCGTAGATGGAAGTAGCCAATTAAAAAGATTGTTAAATGTTTCAAGTATGACTTTCTACAGGGTATGGTGGGAAGCATAGGCTAGGAACATGAGGGCATTCAGAGGTTAAATTAGATTGATTATTGTTAAAGCTAGCTATGGTAGAGAGAGCTCTATTATGATAGAGTTCTACTAGTACTAATTAGGGCTAGCTCCCCCTACATTAGCACCACGTGAACCATGCCTTTTAACATTAAATGCATTTTTGTGTGAATCATACTTGGATTGAGAAATTAGTAGCATGTAGTACCCTTTTTCGCGGACCGTTCAATGGGAACAAGTGGTTCGATCAATCTTGATGGTTGACGCTACTCATCACCAACCGATAGAGATCTATTTGTAGCATCAGTAAATGGGAAATATTTCATGAACAGCAACGAGGAAAAACCGAGCAAATTGAAGATAAGACACCGATGAGTTATGATATGACCGAAATAACACCATAGAGGCTGGAGGAGTACACAAGAGAACTAAAGGGAAGATTCAGAGGGTAACAGAAGTGGAAAGTACTTGATTTCAGCTAGCACATTCTCAATCGTTCAAGTGATTGTTAAATACCATTAGAAGACTCGATGTACTTAGCTAGAAACTATTTAGCCGGCAAGATCCGCCCGCTTGAGGCATTCAATCTAGGGGAATTCAATGCATGCAAACAAGGTAAAAACGAGTACAAGCACCAAACGATAGCCAATGCAAATTTTGGAGAAGCTATCATTGAATTGATTCAACGCCGAGTTTCTACTAATATCCCCCTCTTGTACTCTGAGATAAGATATTGCTACATAAGGAGCACAATGCATTATGCTAATATGATGCTCAAGTGATAAACACCACCAATACTCGATTACCTAGTGTATGTATCTTTGTTCATCTCGCTCGCTCTCATGTTCTCTATCGTAACAACTCGATACCATTAAACGATACCAAAATGTCTACCCCGCCCCGCTTCTCAATCCTGGCAGTTTACTTCATTAATTTTGCGATGAAAGGGTGCTTCAATGCTTCCGTGGGTGTTATTCGTTTCTCTGGGTTGAGCGCCAAACATCTTTCCAGTAAGTCCCCAAACAATGTCAACTCCTTCTGCTCAATCTCTGTTAGCCCCTTTGATGCTGAAATTAGACGAGTTCGAAGATCTCTGCTTGGCTTTGCGAATGCCATTGTCTTAACGACATCCTTGCCAGTCAATTTGTCTGGTTCAACGCTTCTGAAATTCAACATATCATCAAAATGAACTCCGGCAAAATCGGCTTTTTTCAACATCTTAACTGAAAACTTTCCGCGGCAATCCATGATAGAGCGTAACATTTGATTATTTGATCTACCAGTGAATAGAATTTTACCGGTATACAATTCGTATAAGGTACATCCAATAGACCAAATATCAATGGCGAAGTCGTATTTCATGCCAAGAATAATTTCTGGTGCACGATAGAAACGAGAAACAAGATAGGGAGTGATTTCGTTATCCGTTGCGTCTGAAGCGGAGCCCAAATCACAAATTTTGAGCATGTTGCGAGTTTCATTCACCTAAGCAATGAGTTAGAAAAGACGATTCGTGAGATGAAGTAAAACTTACCAAAATATTATCAGGTTTCAGATCTGCGTGTAAGATATTGGCCTTCTTCATCAAGCTGAGCCCGAGAAACATTTGATGAGCATATGCTCGCACGGCCCTGAGATTGATACCAACATTGTTTCCGAATTTTTTCAGGACCTCACGCAAATTGATGCTCAAATGCTCGAAAACCATACACAAATGACCTTTGTGCTCAAAGTATCGTTCTAGACGTATCATATGTTTTTTGTCCTCGGGATCTGCATCTTTGATCTTTTCCAGAATCTCAATCTCTTTCATTCCAGCCTTCCTCCTATGATACTGTTAGCATGTGAGATTTTGTATGGGTGTAGATCAACTTACATAGTCTCGTTATTCCTGATGAGCTTAATTGCGACCAACTTTTTGGTAGTAATGTCCATAGCTCGAACCACGCCCGAGAACATACCCTTTCCGAGGTTTGCTTGGACATGATATCTACCATTCAAGAGTTCACCAAGGATAATCTTGTAATAACCCTCGAGATCATCCCAATTGTCGAGCATGCCGACGTCGAGCTCTTTGGCCTGTGGAATAGGCACTGCTTTGGCAACATCACCATTCGTGATAGCTTGAAGCTTATCATCAGCAACTGAATCTTCGGCAAACATGTCGTCGTCGTCATCGTCTGCAAACATATCAAATTCGTCCTTCGATTTTGGAGCTTTGACTTCAGCGGGTGCGATTTCGGCAGGAAGAAGGACATCTTGTTCAGATGTGGGCTTTGTTTCATTGTATGCCCCAGAGGATACCTCATCAAAATGTCGTTGTCCATCGCGCTGCCGATCTTCTCTCATATCCATAGTTGGATCATAATCTGCGGCTGAAGGTCCATCCTCCTCACCTGCTGTTGGAACTCCGTGTGAGTTGGCAAGATCTTGATCATCCGTGATCGCAAAAGCGGAAGGAGATCCTGGGTCCATAGGGGTCCCGGGAGTCGAGACGGTAGGTGAAGCTGAGGTTAACGAATTAGAAAAGAATTCGCCACACAGTGTAGTTTGCTTACCGGTTGGGCCTGTAGGGCTATCATCTTCACCTTGTCCAGGAGTGGATCCCCCAGATTTGTCTCCCAAGTGCAAAGCTTGTACTAACAAGGGTGTACCAGAACCTCGATACTTAGCTTTAATTGCCTCGCGGCGCTTGCGTCGCTGTTCTATGAGTGTAGCTTCATCAATTGGCTCTTCTTCAGGAACTTCATTAGAGGCTTCCTCGGCAGAGGTAGATCTAGGTTGCATCAGTAAATGCTCAACACGAAGGGATTGATCAATAACATACATATCCATCTCACTTTCATCACGTTGATGTTTATGCTGTTGCAATTGCCCTTGAGTAGTTTTAGCCTCATGTCTCGAATTATCAGTAGGCAGCGGGCCCTTTCCCCGATTGCTCACTGACTGGTCTCTTGAACTTCGGTATGAACCTCCATACCCATAAGGCTTGTTTCTATCCGCATAGTCACCATAGCGGTTACCATTTACTGATTGTCCATTTCGTCCACCTCTATCTCCTTCACGATTAGCTCGGTAAGGCGAACGACTTCTGGTTCGAGGACGTTTTTCGGGATGCCTATCCCGATGATCATGATCGTCATATCGCAGTTCGGATGAGTTCGTTGGCCCCTTGTCTATATCTTCGTATGAAACCCGTGGGCGGCGTCTATTGTCTTGAGGATAATCTTCGTAATGAACCTTGAATCGCCTTGAGTCGTTTCTGCTACGGTCTGGGTAGTCGTCATCTCTAGGTCTCTTCGAACCTCGAGAGTGTCGGTCAGAATAAGGGGAACGACTTCTTTGATCTCTAGATCTATATGATTGTTCGGGGGAGCGTGGTGATAAAGAAGTCGTACTAGAACGGGTTCTGTCTTGACGGTCAACGGAAGTGCTACCGGGTGTACGCAGCGACGTAGTTGCCTTCTTCTCCACTACTCCATCACGAATCTCGCCCTCGTCAGAGCTTGCCAATGATGCCGTCATATTCCTTGTTGTAATTGTAAGGACGAAAGCGCCCCCTGCCTTTAGATTTGGATAAATGTGTGTCAGCCAAAGATCATAAACAAGATCCCAAAGTGAGAAGAGCCCAACCGGTTATCTCTCAGCGCATAATGTTCTTCTTTGCTTTGGTTTGCTTTGGCAGTATGAAGGTGGAGGGATGAGTCTTAGTATAATAGAGAAGAATGTAAGAGAGCGAAGTGACAATTATTGATTTGACTGCCAAGTTGTTGCTGTGTATGTGGTTGTACAAGTGAAACTGATAAATTCAACATCTTGCATGACGGTCAATTGCAGCTGCCATACCGATAAACATGCTAACCTAAACGAGGCTAGATTGATTTTGCATCCACCTTGTCAGCATTCTTTAAAGAAAACCCGCAAAAATACCCTTCCCCCACCAAGAAGTGCCTCGAGAAGTCCAGAATAATTCCGCATTTCTTCCACCAAAAAAGACGATCAGTTATCTCAAAAAGTCACCCAAAACACCGACAAATTTAATTCAGAATGGGAGGAAGTTCGTATAACCTTGTTCATCCTTCTCAGGCCACATGAGACTGACCGAAATACCTAGACGGCACAAACCCTATCCACAACAAGGTGAAGAAGAAGGTCAAGGTTGAGGAAGATGAGGAGACCATCGCATTCAAGCTGAAGCAGAAGATGGGTAAGTGACTCTGTGTTCCCACCATCCTGTATAACATCTCATTGACAATCACTACTTCAGACAAGGCAAAACAAGACAAATTAGCCAAGGAGATCGGTGGACAGAAGGGCCCCTTGAAGACCAAGTCGCACGGCATTTCCGGCAGCGGCGGTAAGGGAAAGAAATAAATGGGATTCAATTCTATGGGCGATGGATTATTAAATTTACGAGATATTTGAGCAAAGGCGTGGATAATACGGCGTATGGGTTTGATGGAGGGTTTTCAGACGTGTGCGATAAGGCTTCGAGCTGAATATGGGGAACCATTTACCACGATGGAGTAATCTATTCAATATGCTTAGGCATATTCTGGACAATCTATACTGATCCAGTAGTTATCGATAAATGCAGGCGTGTCTCAACTGTGAATGTGTTCCTATTATTAACAGTCAAAGATGGCTACAACCTCGCCGCTTACAGGCCCATGAAAACCTTCACCGACTGTGCCTGTGCCTGTGTGATGGATTTCTGGATTTAAGTTAAGGCATTTGAAAATTTCGCGCCTCCCCCTTCCCCATATCATACACGAAGATATCAAAATTAGATGGATCGTTGCGGATGATCGTGGTCACCGGTCTGCCGCCTCATGGCCATCAAACCCCTCGGGCACAGCCGCTACTTTGGTATCAGCTCCAAATAAACACCATTAGTACTTTTGCCATTATTGGAGACACTCAGTATTTAATCAGTATTGTCCGTATCACACTACATCATACAACTTAGAATCTCGCTCTACCTGTGCCTTCTTCTCAGCCTTCGCCTTCATGGATTCCCTGGCTTTGGCTCGCTGCCTTGCCATTCCAATTTTCATCGCGTTCCTCCAGTTGTTGACCACGAAGAGTTTGACCAACTGAATGTTGTAAAATCCGTTCTCATCCCTAATTGCAGCTTCAGGAACAGTCCCCTCGTATAGTTCTCCTTCCATGATGACACCCTTCAGAACTTTTGTAGCTGCCGACCTCGTTTGATTATCACCTCCGTCAACAGGAATATTAGCTTTGATACCGTCATTCATCACTTCCACTAGATGTCTTGCAAGGTTCCAATCGTGTCGCCTGGTTTCGTATTCCTCCTTGACACCAAATTTCTTGAAAGCTTCATCGCGGATCTGTTCTCTTGTGATTTTAGTATCGATATACTTTCCTGCTTCTTGACATATAGGGATAAATTCATCAACCCAAGCTCTAAAAATAGGTCGTTTTGCCAGACGTTGACGATCATTGTGCTTTAGCCTTTTCTTTCCCTCTACTCCGCCCTCTTGGCCTCTCCCGGCAATACTGCCAGTGGCATCTCCTTCCGCTTCATCTTCGGCCACATCTCTGACCAAGAACATTCGACAAGTTGCGGCATATTCAAACATTTCCTGCTGAGTATTGAAACGTTTCCACCATTTTTCTTGATCCAGCCCTAAGAATTCCAGTATCTCGGCCGGATTGTCAGTCAGAAATACCATGCTCTTCTTTCTGTCTGCCAACTCGATTTCGGGGATTCGAATGAAAAATGCGCGATTGTTGATAGTAAGTCCAAACCCTCTGATCGTGGTGCCAATGATGTTCCATAGGTCGCCATGAGCAGAATGAAACAGTTCCCAATCAAATTCATGCTCGCTTTTGCATATATGGACATCGACTTGAACGTACCAGCTCGCCAGCGAAACATCTGTAGATTCAGTGACATTCTTTCCATCCTTAGCACCAGTGATAGTATGCTCTGGCCAAGGAACCGCAAAATTGATGGTAGGATTGCCTTTTTCTTGCAACAAGGCTTTGGCATTCAAAGCTTTCTTGAGCTCATCCCCGACTCGATCTTCAGAAGAAAACGCGCCCTCCAAAGGTAATGCAACAAGGATGTCAACATCCCCATACGTGGTTTTGCCAGGTCCCTCAATAGCACTCTCAACTTTGGAGTAAAATTTGCGCAGAATTGCCTGATTTAGTTTCAGAGCTTCGTCGTAGACTTCCTGAGTCATCCGAGGCGTCTTGATGGGTGGAACCCGAGAAGAAAACGCGTGGCCCCCCATTGTCCCAAGGAACTGCAGTGGAAAGAAAGTAAAATTGAAGAAGTGAATATTCCTTGCTTAAACAAGTATTAGAGATGTAAGGTTCATGTGCAAATTCTATAAGCCACACCAAACGACGACAAGCATTGCGCTGTGCAAACATGATATGAATTGTGATGGAAGTAATATGTGCAAACCTAGAGAAGCAAAACCATAAAAGGGAATCAGGACGGGAACCGGAAAAAGAAACTCCAACCACAGCTCTCCCTTGCCTCTGTTGTACGATGTCAGCAATGGCGATGCTGTTTACATGGCAATTATGGAATAGCTGAAAGCAATCAGACATAGGAACATCTTCAACAAGACTTATGCCAACTTTATCATTTTTTGATCCGATTGTTCCGTGAGTCTTGAGAATTAAAACATTCCACTTGGAATCATCCTCGCTATTCTCGCCAATCCTCGTCTCTGCGGGGATTTACCAGGGAAGAAAGGAATGATCAAGAAAGTCATCGGAGGTCATCATCTCACAATTGTCTTTGCCATACTATTTAATTGGGCAAGAGAACAACAAAGTCGTCATTACTGCGCCTCTACGCCTCAACATTGTCAAAATGGTAGGCTTGATTTGTATAATGATTGAATTCTAAGCGCTATGTGACTGGCCACCCCTCATTTGACCACTGCCATAGCCCCGCGAGGATTCTTGACCTTAAGGTTTGCCTTCTGCACAGCTTCGCAATAAATAACACTTGAATCCTTCTGCTCTACCTACTTTTACTGGCTTACAACCACACTTTGAGTCAACTTACAACAGGCATAGATTTCTCACAGAACAATAAGATCGCAAGAATGTCATATCAAAATTATCCTCCATATGGTGCGCCGCCGGCTGGACGTGAGCAAAATCTACATTCTTATTTGCGACAATCTCTAACTTGAGCGCAGTTGCCCCGCAATCTGGATACCCACCACAAATACCCCCCCGTCGTATGTGAATTGATGTTTGCGACAATGCAGCACCCGTTGACTTTGTATTAGATTCCCCTCAGCCATATCAGCAATACCCCCCTACCCAAACTCCATATCCTCAACATTCATATGGTGCTCCTCCACAGCAACCTCCATACCCACCGCAGCAACAGCCCTATCAACAATATCCTCCCCAACAAGGTTCCTACCCACCACAGCAACCATATGGCGCACCTCCACCAGTTCCGCCGGGACATTATTCCCCGCCGCAGTCATCGCCTTATCCTCCATCGCAAAGCGGATATTCTCAACCACCATATGGCGCTCCACCCCCAGGCGCACAACCTCAATATGGTGCGCCAATGGGCTACGGACAACCTACTCCACCTTCAGCTGGATATGACCTGAACTTACCAAGCCCTCCTCGCATACCCTACGATGGACGCGCAGATGCGCAGGCGTTGCGCAAAGCTATGAAAGGTTTCGGTACTGACGAAGCGACTCTTATCGAGGTTTTGCACAACAAGGGACCTTTGCAAATAGAAGTTTTGCGACAAGCTTTCTTTGATACCTTCAAAAGGAAATTGTTGGCAGATGTGGAGAGTGAAACCAGCTCGTACTTCAGGGAGGGTCTCGCTGCGATAATTCGAGGCCCCTTGATACAAGATTGTCATTTGCTTTATTCGGCGATGGACGGAGTAGGTACAAAGGAGAAATACCTGACTGAAGTTTTGATGGGTAGGTCAAATGCCGATATCAATGCGATCAAGTCAATGTATCAACGCCGATACAAGAGGAGTCTGGCAGGCGACATCAAAGGTGATTTGAGTATGAAGACAGAGGATCATTTCTTGATGGTATTAGAGGCCAATAGAAACGAGGAGAGTGCGCCAGTAATCCCTCGCGATGTTGACCGAGATGTGGCATCCATATGGAATGCGACAGAGGCCATACGTGGACATGACGCAAAGACAATTTGTGAGATATTCACGAAACGAAATGATGCTCAATTACGAGCAATCAATCACACATACCAGCAACAACATGGAAAGCCATTAGAATGGGTTATCAAAAAGGTAAGTGAATTCATTGCAAATGTAGTTAGAAATCTTACTGACTCCCTGGACAAGAAGTTCAGCGGCCACATGGAGGATGCCCTCCTCTATCAACTTCGCACAGCTTCGGATAAAGCCATGCGTGATGCAAATCTCATGGAGGAATCGATGAAAGGCTTTGGCACGAAGGATAAATTACTTGTTGCTCGAGTCGTCCGATGTCATTGGGACCCCAAACACATGGATCAAGTCAAGGGTGCATATCAGCATGCCTACGGACGATCTTTGGCCTCCAGAATTTCTGCGGATACAAGTGGTTATTATGAGAAACTGATGGTGAAATGCGTCGAGTGCAGTAATTTGGTTCAGCCTGGTTACACATGGTTCTAGATTATTTGCATCAAGAAGGGTGTGGTTTCAATAAGGTTATGTCTGGCGTGTTTGGAGGTATGGTCTATATTTCTGACAATTTTGGGATTCGGTATTGGAAGGACAGGCCATGAGATAAAGGGAATGGAGGGGTAATTAGGGATCTCCACCGGCGAGCAATCGCAATAGGTAGTACTTTTCGAGTATTCGGCGTTTATCTAGGATGGAAATGGTGAGATGATACCAGGGCCATGTATGCTAAGAATTTATTTTGATTATTTCTCGAATATTTCAGTCTACTTTCCAATGAGTCTCAGTGTGTACAATATTTTGCTTGTGTTACCTGTTATACTTAGCTTGAACACAAGCATGTACGCTAGCAATCGACCACCCCGCCAGTCGAAGAAAGAAGGAGAAAAAACAGATAAAAACACTATACCGTGTTATAATTGAGTAAATTGCAAGTAATTATTAATGCTTGGGTTTGAATGCGAAAGAACTGTTGTGAATATTATTAGAAGAATATGGAAAATGAAGTAAAACCGAGGACTGGATAATATGAATCTCCTCTACTAATAGAATCATGACTGGATGACTATAATAATATAGAATGACTATACTATATATACCTAGGTACTCTACGGTATCATCGTAAGAGTTTCATTCGGCTGTTTCAGAGACTTGTCTTATGAATGATTGGCTTCGTGAATAAGGATTAATAACAAATTGATTGATATAGTAGGTAGATAGGTACCTAGATGGGAATCATATGTACGTACGTACATACATAATACATACATACATATATGAGCGTGCCACAATTTCGGTAGCTAGGGAGAGATCCACCATTCATATACACCCGTGGACACACAGATACAGACAAGACAAGACAAGTCAAGCAAGTAGGTTTCCGTACATGAAACTCAAAGTGATGATATAGGGTTGTTCGATACATTCTTCTATCGTTCTCCGAAGAACGAAGTGGGTATGATTTATTGTAGGTAGATAGATAGATATCTGGTATATAGGTGCTTACTATGACAAGTATGTAGGTCTGCCCAAATACTCTTGAATTATTAATGCTTACTTGTTGAGTCTTCTATATTCTATTATAGAATACCAGGTACTTATTAGTTTCATACTATCATCTGCCGGGCTACTTGTGATCAAACCTATCTATCCTACTTAAGGTAGGTAATACTACAAACCCTAATTAATTAGGTATCTTATGTCATGAAGACAACTAATAACAATAATGATTTATTATAGCAAGTACACTGCTTCGTAATGAGTAATGAATTTGAACACCAAATCAACGGCAATCAAATGAATGAATTGTTATGTTACTGTTCGGATAGGTACTTTATCAGCTCCAAAATTAACGACTCCTTTCTACCGAGTACACTTCCTTCTAGTATGCTGTTATCATAGTAAGTGGTGTATTGAATTCTTCGGAAATTCTAATTATCCTAAAGGGAAGAAACAAAAGACTATCTATCTACTATTGTATCCCTTTATCTCTTTCGATTTCATTCTTAAACACATTCTTCATTCTCCATTTATTAGTTTTCTTATTTCTTTAATTACTGATCATATTACTCACTATATTTGGTGCAAATAGGCAAGGGCCCCAACGCTAGCAAATTTTAGCTTCGTATAGTTTAGCTTTTATTAACTTTCTTTTGATTTCTTCATCATCAACATTTACTCTTCTCTCCATTTTATTATCATTCTTACACGCCCACTCACTTCATCACCATTAATCCTCTTCTCTTGATCTTCCGGACAAACAAATGACGTTAGATTCATAATGGAAGCTCTCTGATTAATACGGTTCACTGTGAGTTCCGACCTAACCTCTTTTCCTCCGACTTTCTTGATACGAGAATACGTCTCAGGCTCTCGGCAATTTGTTCATTATTATCCGTTTTGCATAATCTTCTGATTAGGAATACCTGGGTACTAATAATAACTACGTCTGAATATAGATCGATTATTCCACTCGAGGAACACTTGTTGCAGACTTGCGACATCTTACTTTTCTTCTGAACCCCTATTGACCCTACGATATGGATATCTAAAAGCCCTCGCATTACTCTTCACATAATAACTATCCAGGTACATTTTCCTTTCCTTTCCTTGATTCACTCCCTTTCGACTCTCGACCAATTAAACGATTCTTTTATACCACAGTCACATGATACTCATAATAATAATAATTTATAGTGTCATTATTATAAGCTTGACAAAATTCACCTTTCCGCGTTCTACTATTATTATTATATTAGGACCGAAAAATTTCAGTCTGGTCAAAACTATCCTCTCAATAACACAATTCTTGAAGGCTTTGTGATTACCTCGATCAAACAAATCAATCATTCTTCTTTTCTTAAACACGTGGATTCCACGTGTGTGATAGATCAAATGCCTACAATACGTCTTGACGAGAGTGATGACGACTCTGAGCTTTCGGACGTTGATGTAGCTGAGATCGCCAGTGTAGCTCTCTCAGATACCCCAGGATCTACAGTAATTCCAACATCCACAGATTTACCCAAAAATAATGGGATGAATAGGGATGAGTTCCTTCTCGAGTCTCAAACCATTGCAGCATCATCGAACCCGGAAGAGGATGGTGAAACTATCGATCTTGATACCCGTCCACCACCCGAGGACAAAGGCGATCTAGGAAAGAGTGTAAAGGCGGAATCTGAGTCTCCCAAACAAACTAGATTGCCCATACAAAATTCTGGACGTCGAGGCAAGAAGGCACCCGCCGAACAGGAGTCTAAAAATAAACCATCAGAACAACCATCGAATATCTTGAAGAGAAAATCATTTCCAAGTGATTCTCTTAAGAACGCTTCCATGAGTCCTACAGCTCATAGGCAACTTCATCGTCCAGATCTTGCAACGCCAACGCCAAGGCAACCCTCTATAGCGACCTCTGAACGTCAGTCTACTCGCCACCACGAATCGCCATCCCTTGCAAAAATCCAAGAAGAAACTGCTCGTTTGCGGGAAGTTTTATCGCATGTGTCAACTGAAGCGACTCAAGAAATATTGAAGGAGCAGTGGAGAAATTTTCTTTTCACGAATGCAAAAGAGTCACACATCACATTCATTCTTCGAGCTGGATTGAAGAATGCTAGCCCTAGTGTTCTTGCACGAATCTATAACGACTCTGGTGTCATGAAAGATACCTTCTTGGAGACTATCACTTCTAAGCAACCAATTGTCGCTAGGGTTCTCAAGAGTGCTTCTGCGAATCAGCTTGCAGATCTCGTACCCAGCAAGGTTCTCGATCAAGCTCTTTCCGAGCGGTTGAAGAGTGTCCCAGCAAAAACGCTCATACGATGGCTGGCTGAGGCTGATAGACTTGGTTACAGTCTCGATGACATTCTGGACGAGAATGATGAGACTGTCGTACCAAACATGCCGAGTAGAACGCAAAGTCATGATGGTGGTGGTAATAATGAAGCTGATAATGCTGATACAGAAATGATAGATGATGGACAAAAGAAGGTGGAAGCTCCGTCTTTGGATCCGCTTGTTGCTGAACAGGAACGAATCAGCGCTCTGCAAAAGTCTCAAAACGACGTCCAAGCAAATCCTCCACGCGAGTTAAGATGCCCCACGTGCACCTATAAATTCGATACCATTAGAGGTCATAATTTTGTGAGTCTAAAATTATCATAATTATTCTTTAGAGCTAACAGTGATATAGCATCGACAAAAGAATATCTGCACTAGAAGTCAGCCTCCGGGATTGAAGTTTTATTGTGGTAATTGCGCTCAAGGCTTTACCACCAAGCAAGGAATGCTATATGTATGTTTGATCTATATGACTTACGAGTTTCGCTGACTTGCCAAAGCATGAAAAGAAGCGTGTTTGCCTTGGGGCAGAAGGCAGTCCAGACGATGAAACCGTTTATCAAGACTACCGAGACATAGTTTCGAATTCGCCAAATCCTCAATACGGACAAACCCCTGATCACCCACAGACTACATCGCTTGGTAATATCCCTCGTCCACCTCTCCACACTCCAGGATCGCGCTCCAAGCATATCGAAGCGATCATCGCTGCATCTCCTTGGGATGGAGAGGCTCGCCATTCACCATCTGAGTTGCCACCCGATAAACGTGCTGCTCTAGAGGACGCTCTCCAGAAAATCGAAGAAAAATACATCGAGGATCAAAGCAAGATACCCGAGGACTGGACCGCCGAGAGACGAGAGGCACGGCTTATCTCTCTCAAAAATGGAAACGCATCTCGTAAATCTCAAATCCGCAAACAATTTGGTGTTACTCTTCGTATGCGCGACAGAGATAAGGAGGCAAAGAAAATACGTGAGGTTTTGGGTGCAAATTCTCCAATGGTACCTACTGGCATGAACAGGATTGAATATCGTGATTCACCAACGGTTGCTGGCTATCCAGTAAATGCTCAGCAGCAAATAAACCAGAATCAAACACCGGCCGGTATGAGAATGGAGATGGTGGATATGAGACCTGCTACAGGATTTTCGCCAATCAATGCACCGCAGCAACACCAGCAACATCAGCAACACCAACAACATCCTCAACAGCAGCAATTTTCGCAAGCACCACCAGGTCACCACCCAATGCAATATCCAGGTCCACCTCAAGCTCAAGGCTTTCAACAAAACTTTCCACCTGTACCTCAACTTCTGTCACAGCAGCGACCTGGCCCAGACCATCGAATGAGCCCACTGGGGTATCAAGGAGCTCCAGAACAAGCGTACAGAGGACCAGAAGATCACGCAAACAAAAGACTCAAGCGTGATTCAAGTGTAGGAATGTCACGAGCAGATGAAGAAAGAAGTAGACATTTTGCACCCGCGGATTCGGCTCCAATGGGTATGAATGGGAGAAGGGCTTCTGGGGGTAGAACTCAGGCTTACAATGGTCCCGGAATGGCCGGCATGGAAAATCAAAGATCCGTTTCTGCAGGAGCAGGTGGCGCTGTGATGGAAGGTGAGAGTAGACCAAATTCTGCGGGCTCAAGTAGTGTGCGAAAGAGGGTGCCAGTTGGGGCGTTGCAAAGGCAATGGGAGGCGTTAAATGGGAAGGGGTCGGGTAGGAAGACGGAACTTGAGAATAGGGCTGGAAATATATTGATGAGTAGTGCGGACAGGGGTGAGAGGGTAAATGGACGGGTTGAGAATGGAAATCTGGTGGTGGGTGGGAAAGGTAAAGAGCCAATGCACGAGAGAGGTAGGAATGTAGTCGATTTGGTCAGTGATGATAGTTCGAGTGAGCGTGAAGCTGCTGGACCTGGTGGAGGAGAAGAGTAAATTTCTGGCAGGTGCGGTGAGATTCGAAGAAGATTAGATATTTGTTCGATGGAAGCATGCATGGATTTTCATTTTCATTCGTGGCTACTGGCCTTTTTTTATATACCTACCTACCTTTGTCAAACATGCCACCTTTTTTTTTTCTCACGTGGAGAAAAAGTTAAGGAAACAGCAAGATAGGGATTTATTGGAATCTACATGGCAGAAATGATGGATGGGGAGAGTCTTGACAAATGTATCGTATTCTGAATACCTCGATCTGCCTTTTGCTTTTGTTTTCTCTTTTCGAAATAATTTCGATGCGACTCCATGGGATATGATATGATAAGATATTTGATGATGATGCTAATAACTTACTTCTACTTCCAAAATCGTAGCGGTAGGAGTCGTATTTTTAAAAATTAAGATGTTGACCTCGAGACTAGTTGATACGATCACGTTATTGGATGTAAATCTGTATCTGATACTACATATCGGCAGCGTGATATGTGTAGATTGATTGATTGATTGATCGCCCTTTCAAGATTCAATCAATTATTTCTAAGGTTGTTCATTCGTTCATTCATTCAATCAATCCTCACCAAGCGAAATTCAAGCCTAGGAAATCGCGAAATTGAATAATGGAAAATACTGGGTGGGAGAATTTCTGGGGGGGGGGGGGATTGTTGGGTGATTGGTGGATGGGTAGATAGATAGGTGGATAGGTAGGTAGGTAGTGATAGATTTCGTGATATCCAATTTATATCTTCATTCTGTTCTGGATTGATGATGGATTTGAGGTAGTTGGGGATACTGGATATTGGAAATTGGAATTGTGAAGGGTGTACTGCGATGTGACGGGATGGGATCTGGTGGATGGGATTGATAATTTTGAGGGAGGAATGATTAGTACCTACGTATGGTACCTATGTAACAAAAAAAAAAGTAACTTACATCAAATCATCTACCATCAATCATCCATAATCCATGATCTATCTTATCAGATCAAATTATCTCCCCTCACTCTTTATCTATTCTTCATCCCCCCAAACCCATCCAAACACCTACTCAGTATCTAACACCCCAAGCCTACCTTCCACTGCCGGCGCGCCAAGCGTTTGCCAACCCCGGATAAATGCACGCCGGGAAATGCTCCTTCCCAAACGGGCCAAGGTAGGGAGTTTGGATAATAGCGGGGTCTTGGTATTGCTTGGGGGTTTCTGGATGAGTGGTTTGGAGAGATGGCTAAGAGTTTTCCAAGAGCATTTGAGCGCTGGCGTGAAAGGAGCCAAGAGATAAAGAATTTGGGGGTAAGGCGTGCTGGGTTGGGTTGGGGAGGTGGTATGAGGCGCAGGGGGGAGTGGGGAAGAGGGGAGTAGGAGAGGGAAGGTGGACGGATGGGGTTGTGGCCTTTTGAGTGGTGGATTGGGTTGGGGGAGGGAGTAGGAGGGGGAGAGGTGAGAGGGGAGAGGAGAAAGTTGGGAAATGCATGTGATAGTGTGTTTATGGACGAAATTGGTCTGGAATGTTCGTTGAGATAATGGCAACAGGATATGTTTTCTGGCTAATTGGATGAGAGGTAGATCGATTTGGATTCGTTTGGGTTCTGGGCTGTAGCCTATAGAAAAGAAGGGCAGATATGTAAGTTTATCTAAGAATAGCAAGCCAGTGATTTTATTCCCTTCCTATAGATAACCTTATTATGAGTATCATCATCCCCGCATCTACCATTCTATAGGCTACTACTTACGCGCTCTTCACAAGGCTACATCGGGAGTTGAGCATGGAGATCTGATATATTCCGTCGCCTTCTTCTTTGGGGTGGTACGATGTGGTACTGACTTGAACTACGATATCAATCTCTTCCTCGCCGAGCTAACCCACCCCATGAATTAAGAAGGAGATAAGCTGTCTTCTTAATCTGACACCATGAAGCTATTGAGGATCCTAAAAAAGGAAAGTGATAATTCTCAAATCTTTGGATTTGAGGATCCACAAATCGAGCTTCTCATGAATATAAATCTGAAGCTATCACCACATTCTCAGTCTCATCAGCACTTCCAATCCACTCCTCCATCTCCAGTACCCTCCTAACACTGTACGACTTTGTACCACCTCACCTTCGCAATGGCACCAATTCTCAACCTCGCGCTCGCTCTTGCGATGCCCGTCCTCTCAATGGCTGCTGCTCTTCCAACCGGAGCTGAGCTTGAAAACCGTGCCACTACTCTCGGAGGAACTCCAGATATTGTCGGAGGAACCACCGCCGCTCTTGGTGAATTCCCCTACATTGTCAGCTTGTCCCACAGTGGCTCTCACTTCTGTGGTGGTGTCTTGCTCAACGCCTACACCGTTCTTACTGCAGCCCATTGCTCTGTCGACTACGCAGCTTCCTCGGTTAAAGTTCGAGCTGGAACTTTGGTACGTTCTCATCTTTCATTGGCAATTTCAAAATTCGAACGAGCATCTATTCGGATTACTCCAACCATCCACATTCCATAATTTGAGGTCCATGTAAACTGACTTTTGTATAGACCTGGGCATCCGGCGGAACCCAAGTTGGTGTCAGCAAGGTTTTAGTTCACCCATCCTACAGTTCCTCCACCACAAACAACGACATTGCGCTCTGGCACTTGTCGACTGCTCTCCCAGCCAGTTCCACCATCGGCTACGCCAAGTTACCCGCCCAAGGCTCCGATCCCGTTGTTGGTTCTACCACCACCGTTGCAGGATGGTAAGGGTTTCCGAGACTCCAGCAAATTTTATCTGTGAAAAGAGCGCTAATTTGTAAATAGGGGTCTTTTGACCGAGAATGGATCTACATTGCCATCAACTTTGAGAAAGGTCTCAGTTCCAGTTATCTCCCGTGCTTCCTGCCAAGCTGAGTATGGTACATCTGCTGTTACCACCAACATGTGGTGTGCAGGATATGCTGCAGGTGGCAAGGATTCCTGCTCTGGCGACTCTGGTGGACCAATCATCGATGCTGCCACTGGTGTTTTGGAGGGTACTGTCTCCTGGGGTCAAGGTTGTGCTGAGGCTGGTTACGCTGGTGTCTACGCCAGAGTTGGTAACTATGTTACTTACATCAACTCCAACCTCTGGACTAGTTTGTAAATATGGAGATGATTATATAGTGGAAGGTTGAGAGCAGGAATGTAAGTAGACAAAAGTTGGTAGCGTAGGAGGTAAGATGGGACTGGGTGGTGGTGCAACTATAGTATGATGAGTTAGGCTTAGTCTAAGGAATTTTATTGTGCTGTTCCATTTTTACATACTTTTAGTGAGAATCGGCCACCTTGGAATCATGATTGAAGTTTGGATGATGCCGACAGACCTTAATAACACAACTTCGATGTATTAAGAGGCACTGGATATTAGTCCCAATCCTCATTTACAACGAAGTCCAAATCTCGAGGCTCTTGGGGCATCGAGATTTGCAATCCATCAATGTCTATGAGGAATGATTGTGTAACTATTCATCATTAGCAAGAATGTTCAAAATCATAACACTGCTGTGGGAATATCTCACCAGTGACTCCTCACTCTCATAATCCGTTTGCGACTCTTCGTAGGATTTGTATCGATACTGTAATCGACCTCGACAAATCCAATCAATGCCAATGATACAAGCTAAAACACAGTATATGACACTGATGTAATTCATATCTATAATTATAAGCTCGAGTCATCATGGCGCTATTATAAATACTTACTAGATGCTGTCACCGGAAGATTTATTGGAAATGAGAACCTGCAAGATATAATGTTAATACTTCCCAAATAAGATATAATGGATGACTTACATGATGAGTGCAAATAATGTCCAAACGATTGTCACTAGGTTGGCAATATAGCCAAACTTACCAAGCCAAAAGGGTCCATGTGAGATTTTGTCGCGACCTTTATGAAGCAAGCATAGAAGAGGGATGCTGTAAGATGTATATGGGAGGACAATACAGCCAATGATCATGCTGTGGGAAGTGTTAGAACTGAGCACTACTTATGTGTGGGATCGTTTAAGACTCGCCTATTGAAAGCAGTTGTTGATAGTAGATACAAACATCCAAGTATAGTGACGACTGTTGCGCTCATGGCATGTGCTCGAAACGGGACATCTAAAGTGGAATTAATCTTGGCTAGAGATCGGTGAAACGGAACACCTCCATCTCGAGCAAAAGTCCAGCAAAGCCGGGATTGCAAAGTATGGCATGCAATCAGACAACCAATTCCAGTTGCCATGATAAGAGACTCGAGGAATATTGCAGCAGATCGATTTCCGACTGACTGATAGAACAATTCCAGAATCGGCACTTTTGTAAGTGTTCCAACAACCGCATCAAAGTTGTTGAGACTGAAGAACATCGCAATAACGAAAAACCATGCAGTCGTGAATCCAATTGCTATGGTAGCCATGATTGAAATTGGGATTACTACTTCTGGTTGATGAGCTTCTTCTGCTAGGTGCACAGCGCTATCAAGACAAGAAAATGCCCAATTTGCGTTTACGAGGCCGACAATAAAAGCAATACCATTGTTTGACCAACCTGTATTGTTAATGAAGGTTGCAAAGACAAATTTAATGTCTTGATGCGTTGGGGCTTGTGATGGCACAAAAAAAAGAATAATCCCAAAGGATATTAAAGACATATAAAGAGTAATGGTCCCAAGTGTCGGCAAAATTCTACCGTAACAATTGAATAGGAAAGTAAATAGATTGACTACTTGATATGCAATAAAGATGTGCAATTCATGAATAATACTAGTAGCGAGTTAGTCTATGACTGTGAACCGATGACAAACTGTACTAGGAAAACTCACAAATCCGAGTGATTCAATTGCCAACATCCAACTGCTGCTGATGCAACTGCTAATGATACACTAGCTGATGCAAATAGGGACCCAGCCCATGCACAGTATCCAGTCACAAATGACAAAGGCCTGGCATATTTCTTGGGAGCCAGTTCCATAACCCAAAAATGTTGTCCTGCAGCATTTGGCATTGCACTTGCCAATTCTGATAACGAGCATCCTACAAAAACGCTCACGAATGCAACAAGGGGTATTCCATACACAAACAGGGCAGGGCCACCAGAATCTATACCTGTGATTAAAGCACTCGAAATCCCAAACCATGAGTTTGTGAGAGAGAAACCTTCCCCCAGTATTGACCAGAGAGTGAATTTACGGCGCATATCGTGATTTTCACCGTCATCTTGACACGTTGTTGCGTTAGGAATTATATCCGACTCGTAGATGGTGACATTGGACGATGAAATATCGTCAAGCTTTGGGACATTCATAGTCTCGTTTTGGAATCCAGTGTTTGTCCGACAGATATCAGGGTTTGTATGGGAAGTGATGTCACGAGGCTTCACAATAGTGAGTCCTCTTAGAACTGTCACCAACCTAGGTTCTCTGAGAGAGTGGTATCGCGTGTGTAATCCTAAGACCGATAATCTCCGAGAAATAGAGTTTTGAAAGTGCTCTAATTAGCATCCCTTGGATGTGGGATTGCCGACGAATATTGCGTCTAGAGAGATAAATCCTTTACACTCAAGAGAGAATTCGACATCTATGTTGACGGGATTGTATGAAATGTCCTATTGTGGCAGTTTGTTCCATTAATCACCCACTTTTGACTGGAAGATGAGTGAGAAGATGCGCTAAAGATAAGAAGTCGAAACCTTATCAATATCATTGCTTCGACATGGAACTACTTCGTATATAATATTAGGGGTAGGGGTCGTAGAGTTAAAGTTTGCATATGTAGGGATAGGACACAGGGGCAGCGCAACAAGAATGTTTTATCCAAACTTTGTTCGTATTGGGGTTGTCCGTGGGTTCCCCATTGGTCGGAGAATTATATTATGCACGTGAAACATTGTAGTTAGCTTCATTCCTTACATGTTAGCCCCATATCAATTTACCTAGTGTGTTCTGGTCATGATTCACCCTGGGATAAGTAAGATATATAATGTCGACGACCAAAATGTCGATGAAGTTGATGGATTGGTTGCGGAAGAGAGGAAGCTGCTAGGAAACCCAACGATAACGAAGTATCGCAGGAAGGAAAATCGAATGACAGCCAACGACACATGATATCGATTCTGTCAGCTGAATCTGTCAGATTCGAAGCCCATGAAGAGTGTATCCGAGACTGTATCATATAATTAACACGTTTTCAAAGTATTGGTGGAAAGAGATTCTGATATCAGACTGTCAACGAAGAGGTCGATGTCTTTGATTAATTACTAATTCTTGTTTGGTTGTGACAAATCTGTCTTGTGATCCTCTGTGAGACTGTCAGTGTGAAGCAAAGCTTATTGGGGAGCCTTGAGTAGCGAGTACAAGACTCAAGGAGCGGGATCACAGAACTAAGGTCCTCCCTCAACATGTAGTTCTTTCTTTCGAGAGGGAGTACCCAATATGAATGATTGTATAGGAAAACCAACTTTCACGATAGAAATAAATAACTAGATTTTTTGGGTGGATGATCAATGAACAGCACGTGTATGATAATTGAGAATAATTCTGTCAGATTCTTGAAGTTGTCAAGATGATGAGGACTCTAAAGGGCGTGCGTGTATTTAGACGCGTCTGCATGATTACTTTTTGCGTAGAAGGTCTGTTTTTAGTAAGGAAAAAACTATTGCTACTAGGTATCGAAAGCAAACCTCGCTCCTTTGTTTTAATTTTAACTCTCCTTATCTACATATACAATGAGTACGTGATAAAAGCACAATTACCCAACCCAAATCATCCTATCCATCCATCAATAATTGCGGTAAAATTACGGGAAAGAGTAACCGCCCTTGAAAGGTACAAAAAGACAACCAAAACAAAACGACACCTGAGTGATTCGAACACTCGCTCCCGAAGGAAATGCCTGACTTTGTAACAATACAATAGCAGGGCATCGCGTTAACCACTCCGCCAAAGTGCCAACTTTGATGACGAAGGCAGCAATATTCAATAATATATACCACAATCTGTCCGCAGAAAATGAGTGCAATGGTGGGGCAGTGGGGTAACATCCACATACAACCCTGATACATACCTCAGTTAACGTCAAATGAAATATCTCAAGAGACGAACATAATATTGGTGAGGCATAAATCGAACTTTCCAAAGCTCTCGATTATCTTTCGCTGAAACCTGCATGACCAAGAATTGATCAAGGGCTATGTTTCAACGGCAGCATTCTTACAGCATTGCTCCACATCTGCCGGATCAAAACAGAGTTCACAAACAACATCACCTGTCTAGATCTTCTCCCTGAATCAATCAGAGAAAATGTCTCCCATTATAGTTGTACCTCTGTCAAAGAAGCAGCTTTCTAGATATCACGATTTGCCTCGTTGAAGTCATCGAGGTACAAAAGCCCATAAAATTACGCAATGAAGACCGCGAATCTGACAGTGCCGAATATCCAATGGACGAATCTAGGGAGTCTAACCATCAAGAATAATAATGAGCGCCGACCTTGCAGTCAAGTTACAATCAAGCTTTCCATGAAAATAAGAACAACCACGAGGAACGCCAATTTGCTTAAACCGCGAGAACTTATTACTTAAAGAACCTAGACAGGCTTGTCAAGACAACACAGATTCACACTTGGGAACTTACTAAAAGCTAAGCCATAGCAATATCAGTCATAAGAGCACCAAGTTCCACAACTGCAGCAACGAATAAAAATCTAACACCTCTAATAGTACCAACAAATCAGCCGCTCGCGCGAAGATGATTCCTCCAACGTGCAGGTATCTCATCTGCACATCAACAGGGATATGCCCTTATTGAAGTCTGCAAATAAGAATACCTCTCTATAAACATTGTATTTTTTCTCACTCAGTGCGAATTCAGAAGAAGAGAAAGGAGAACTGCACTATCTCATATTCTTGATCTTCCTTGACAAGTCTTTCACATTGGTTCTTTGCTAGGCTTCTGTAGGATTCAAGGCTAGATTTCTATTCACTAGGCATAAGAAGTCAGGTTTCTCATTTTATATGCTGTCTCGAAAGAAGTTTTTGTTCATGTAGGTTCTCAACTGTGAGCTTCAGGTGACAGGTATGGGATTGTATGTATGTATGTATGTATGTATGTATGTATGTATATATGTATGTATGTATGTATGTATGTAGACTGAAAAATGCCAGCCATTATTCTGGCCAGATAGCAAACGATCTTGGACAGATCAGAACCTGAACACTATGTAGAAATTCAATATTATGTTAAAAAAATTCAGTGTGTTAGAGTAATTATAGATAGAGATTTGAGGGCGAATTATCCGAGTTCATCTTTAAGATTGAGTGAGTTCTTTGACAAATCCTAGAACTTTGTTATCTAGGGATGGACGTCATTAGTCTGCTCGAGCTATTGTTGAACTATTCAATGTAACTATTCAACAAAAACATTGAATATCCCTTTGAATATCTATCCAATTTGTAAGTTGAAAGATTCAAAAGTGAATTCGGAGTTGAACAGATGGGAGGTCCTCAGCCGAAGACATCACACCCGATCATCTCAACAACAAACATCTCCGGCTTGATTTGTACTATCTTCAAACTGTAATTTTTTCATATGTTCTCAGACGAAAAGACGAAAAGACTCAAACACAACGACATACAATAGTTTGATTTGAACTATGGAACACGATTGAGTCTAGCTAGAGTTGTATTCCAAGTACCTAGAAAGGAATTCTCAACAAAAAGCTCCATCGAATCTTCCACCTTTTGAATTTGGCAAAGAAAAGCACAAAGTATTCACTCTGCACCCCCACAAGGAAAACGGCGGTATTACGACAACGATCTAGTCATTATTACCAACTATTTAACCGCCATACCAAGACCTCTACTCCACTTCAAAACAAGCGGGATGGCCTCCTCTTCTTCTTCCTCTTTTTCCCCAGACCAAATCCTCAGCGCGGGAATCTCCAAACTCTCTCTTCAAATCTACCACCCACAACAACCTACAACCTCAACCATGAATCCAGCTCCATCAACCACACCGAACACCTCGCCTCCGATTCCAACCCCAATTCAAAATACATACTACACCATAACTAACCCCATAACCTTCACTAACTTTCTCGACCAACTTCTACCTTCCAACATCACCCACCTAACCCTCGCTCCCTCTCCTCACCTAGGTCGCATCACCTCTCTCCCACACCTCAACGACACCCTCGGTGATTCCCTCGGCGACGCCTCTACATTCGCCGAACTACACTCCTGGGTAACACTTCTCCAGCGCCTCTCCCACTGCACCCCCTCTCTCCGCTCCCTCACCATAATTTTCGACGCCGACATGAGCGGACGCGATAGTCATGGGTATCGAAGAGGTGTAGGTGAATGTCTCGGATTTATATGGGCGATTGCCAGATTTCGAGGACTGGAATGGGTGGATTTGCAAGGATATTTTCCGACGCAGTGGCCGTGGTATTTGAGGGCGATGTGGACTGCACATGGACAGGGAACGAGGATTTACAATAGGGTTGCGGCGCCGGAGCGGGAGTTGAGGGAGTGGAGGAGGGGGACCGAGAGGTTGGATCCGAGAGAGTTTGGGTGGGAGTGAAGTTGGGGATGGAGAATCGATGGAGATGGATATGACGTTTTGAGGGAGAAATAACTATTGCGATTGCGACTTTCGATTTGCGGTTTAATTCGGCTTATTGTGGTTTGGGAAGTCATCTAGGAAATGTCGATTGGTCGTCAATCTCCACTCATATATGTGTGCAAGTAGTTGCAACGCGGATTGTAAAGTTTATAAGTGATGGATGCGGCTAATGCATAGCACAGTAATAATAATAAAATGGTTTTACTACTCTGTCAAGCGATGTTTGTATTTGAACATATGACCTGCATATTCCTCGTATTTCTCATGGTAAAGTAGTCGACAGCTTTTGCTTGCAGATGGCCCTATGTCCCGAAATAAACGAAATCCAAGATCTCCTGCTTATTATGCCAAGTCGAACACAACCCGATTTTTTCGAAATAAAAAAATTGAATGAGAAATTGAGTGATTAGAGGTTTCCACTGCCATACCCAGAGCGCCGTAGCCAATATGCCTGTTTACCACATCTTCCATCATTCATTTTTCATCTCCCCTGCCCGTTTCCCTATCTGTCTCCCCTCGTTCACTTGTTTTCTTCCACTATCCCTTCATTCCAGCTATTCATTACAATAAGTCGATTTGCTACCATAGATCGTATTTGACTGTCACATAAATTTCAACCACTGGTACACTCCATTGGCGAAGCATACCAACCAATTGCTCAGCCAACGAGTCTTTATAAACCAAGCAGAACTGATTGGCCCTCCAGCAGAGTATTAAAAAGTTCGTCATTAGAAAGTTTGTGCCATTTATCTTTCCCAACACGAAGATTTTAGACATTGCCAACTTCGCGCAAGAATCTGAAGAAATCTGATACGGGCCCAAATTCAGCTGTGAATTCAGGCATCCTACGGGCGCCAACAGTGTTGATATTTTTCTCGTGCATTAATTTATGGATGACGATTATAGATTTGCACAAGGAGGTGTAATCGATGACAAGATTCTGTATCGATGTAGAATAATGCCATGTCGAGCCAGGCAATTCGTGTATGTTCCATAATTCGTGTAAGAGCCGAGATAGCTGTTGGGTGTCTACGAATTTTTTGCGATGTCTAAAGGGGTGAAGCTTTCTCCTTCGCTCTTTCACGAACATGAGATTTCTCATATGATGAAATTCTGGATGAAATTTCAAGAGTTCTGTAGCAGTGGAATGAGTAAAATATTCATAGTCCCAATGGGGTGTTGGACCCATCCCAACCGTTCGGGTCATTTGGCAAGCGAGATGGTTGAAATCCTGTATGTGGATGATGTCTCTTTTTGGATCGAAACGAAGGATTCCGTTGTCCTCAAGTGGCACATGGAAAATAGGAAGAGTTCCACAAAATTTCTTTAGTGCAAGTGAACGAGAGAAGCTATTGATTCGCAGTAGGGTACGAGCTCCAGTCATCTGAACCTTAAATCCTTCATCTGAATTTCCTTTACGGGAATCATAATGATACGCACTCTCTATCAGACTTGGCTTCATATAATAGGTTTGTCCCTTCTCGTCGCTTTCAATGATATAGGTCCACAAGAGTTCGATAACAGCTTGTGGAAGTCCATAAAACTCCTTGGAAGCGGATATGACAGGGACATTGTCTTTCCAATGGTCCATCCAAGTCCTTGGTCCAAAAACTACTTTTTCCCTCTTCACAATTGTCTTGATCTTCGATAGCAAGTTTGAGGATTTGACCTTCCAGACTATTTCCTCTGGTTTGATGTTGAATTTCGACTCGCTTTTCACTGAGGAAACGCTAAGTTTCGAGATGCGCACTTTGTATGCGACCTTAAGGGGACCCATTTTTGGATTTATAAAGAAGGTGTTTGAGATAATTGCTAGACGAGAAGATTGGAGATTCGAAAGAAATGTTGTTCTGTAAGAACTATGGAAGAGATATTAAGAATGAATGTGAAGAGAGATATAAAGATAAATAAGGTAGAGAAGAATGGGAAATTATTAGAAATTAGTATCAATAGGTATTATGGGAGAAAAGATATAAGTATTAAGGAGGCACATATAAAATAACGAGATACTCAAAGTCAAGAAGAATTAAATGAAGAATCGAAAACTGATTTGTGTAGGAGATTTCAATAGGATTTATAGGTAGTGTAGCACTAATAACTTACTAAATTAGGTTGTCTGATATCGTCATCGACAGGTTTAGTCCCCCTTCGTGAAAATGACTAAGCATTGTCACGCTTCAATGGGATTTTATATGCTTTTGTTCGTGGTTCTAGTGATATTTGCACCTTTGGGATGTACTAATATATGGTATGACATTTTTAGACTATAGTAGGGTGAAGTGACAGATGCGCTGATCTACCTAGTATGCAACCTATATGCAACCGCTACCTACATGAGATCGATTTTGAGTTTAAAATATACTTCAGCTACGAATGCACACGTATCATACCAGTGACTAGTTGTAATGGAAGATCAGGGTTAAAAGCACGTATACACATTATTGTACTATCACTCAGATCTCATCATAGCTAAACGATGAAAAGTACTTTTATAATTTTGAAAGCTATGAGGAGAATGAATTAGAATAACACGACCCTGGAATATATATATCTTGGAAATACACACTCTAAGCATTTACGTCTATTGATCGCTTTCAGATCTTAACAATTCCATGTGTATTCTAGTAATTCCATGGAAGCTGAGAATCCCAGAAGCAGCCACAGTTGACTACCGGAATGGTCCAAAAAACATCTGGTTGCCGATAAAGTCGTCTATTGAAAGGCTACACGCCGAGAAAGCTTCAAGATTCGACAACACGTGATTATTTTTTGACATCAATGGTTGAATAGACTCACTTCACCTAGATTGGATCTCTTGTGCTGCTCATATGCATCTTCCATAAGCTTTAGAATCTCTCTGCCATGTTTGGCATCCTCGATATTCGTGGAATTGAAGTATATATTCATCCACCGAGTAACTAATCTGTGGAAAACGGCTCGAAATACAGCTCGACCCCTCTCACTAAGAAGATTTTCCGGAATTTCATCTGAATGAGGTGATGAGTAACAGTATTTGTCGACGAAAGACTCTATGTCGAGGTAGGCAAGCTTGGTGGCATTTTTCTTGCTAACCCGAAGATATACCATAGTATCAATTTCATTCTGAGGAATGTTTAAAACCTTAATGACACTGCTACCCAAGGTAAAAACCATAACATGGCATGCTAATTCTTTGCCCCGATAGCCGGTCATCGCTCGTTGCAAGTTGAGAAAATTGGAAAGAGATTCGAGGTTCCATCTGAGTAAAGAGGAGAATACCTTTGGAACGACTAGAGTGCCCGGATGATTCAGTCCTCTGAGATGCCTTTTCTCTGCTGTATTATGATAAACAGCGGCCAAAGAACGCAAGTTAGAACAGGCAAAGATCAGTCTGCTCAAGAAACTAATGTTATGAGCTACTGCAAGCTCATGTATTCTTTCACCGCGACTACGCTCATCAGCTGTAATGTTAAAAAAAGAGAATAAGTTTAGAGGGACAGCAAGGTACCGAATCTCACTGAAACACGCTGGAATCTTCCCTTTGTCGCATATCCTAATGTTACCATAATCTGGCTCTTCCATTCTGAGAATGACAGTCGTATCTTGGTGAATACATACTGGAATTTTCTTGTCGAGAGATGGCAGCACGACTGGCAGATGGTGTAGATAAATTCTACGAATTGACCTTGAGACAAACAAAAGCGATGTATGTTTTATGTCAAGCTCCTCTTTAAGTAGTATTTCATTATTAACATCCAGGCAGACTGAGAATAGACGAACATAATTGCGTTCCGGGATACATTCTTCAATTATCATGCATTGAACCTCTGCCGGTAATTTGTCGAAGTGTAACGAATTGACGGCTTCAGAGTTTGTAGATGATCTTTGTGCTTTTGATACTGTAGAATATGTTTCTTCAGCCGCAAAAGTCTTACAGGACTTCATGTTCTTATTTGAGTCTTCTCGTGATGTAATACTTGACTGCTTGGCTTCTTTTTGGGTGTGTTGAATGGTGGTATCTGCAGTTGTCATTAGTAGTTAAACTATAAACGTAGTCAGAAAATTATGCTTACCATAATGCTCCAGCTTGTGAGTGACCTCGTTGACAGAATTCATCATGGAAATAGATGACGTTAGGAATATGATAAGTATGGAGTCAGAATCGGAATACTTAGAAAATGTTTGAGTTTTAAATACCTGATAAATGGCACTAGGTTCGTCTGAAACAGCAAATCAAGAGTCATACTCAACACTACAGGAGCTACCCCGATAAGTTCCTTGCCGATCTCGTAGCTTATATCGACATCAAGTGGGGCAAGACTTTGATTAACTGGATAGCTATGAAATAAGTCTGTGATTAACGAGCCTAGAAAACTATTGAACTTGTGTGGAATGATTTTGGCTTGGGTCTATTTTATGTATAAGTTGCTAAGCGATAGGAAACGAGCATCTTTATTTGGTGAAAGAAAGGGTCAATGTGTTTTTGACAAACCTTCAATTTGGCGAATTGGCCATGGATATTGAGTAGACGCTTAGAATTCGTATTGTAGCGACTAAATTTGTGAATCTTCATATAAACATGCAGAACATCAATAGGCGTATGCGAGACCTTGTAATATTCGAGGCTAGTAGTACCCAGTCGAGAAAGGTCGTGCAAAAAATCTCTACAATCTAATGAATAATCAACGCGTCTTTCTTTGATAGAGTATGAAACTATTGATAATCAAGATCTTCATGCGAATTAGACCAGCACTGATCGTGTAACCAAAGAAGTCTAATTATCTCCATCAAATGCTTGATCTAAGGAAACAATTTCTTGATTTGATCTTGAATACCAAGGAGAGTGTAGAGAGGAAGGTGCTAGCCTAAATTGGCATATAATTAATGTATGATTAGAACGACGCCAGCGCCCTAAGGGGTATGGTTGGTCCAATGGTAACCACATCCATTACAATAAAATCCATTTTTCTTGTAAAAACTAATCAGAAAAGCCTAGATTAGCTGACTAGGTAGTCCACGGGTTGTCTAGCACGTGCCTAGAAGGTCACAGAAATTGGCGTGCAGGCTTCTGAGTGGCCATTACCTTTCTTGAGTTGCTGACTAATAAATAACCTTCTTCATTGTCACCATTATATCTACGTACCTAACCTTTATAAACTTACAACCACAATTTTCAATTTTACTTTCATTTTCAATAATCCTTTTATTAATTTAATTCTTTGACACCTCGACCTGCCTGCCCAAACACTCAAATCTATCTAATCAATATACTGAATAATAATAAATCATGGTTTTAACCAGGAAGATGGCAAAAGAGGCTTGCGCAGCTGCTCAACCACCTACGACTTTCCATGCCTTTTCCCGTCTTCCAACCGAATTGAGAACCATGGTTTGGAACGCTGCTGAAGATTCACAGCCCGGTCGCCTCATCGAAGTTTACAATATACCAAACCATTATACAATCAATGGTCGCCCCACTTCTTTTGAATGGCATGCGATACTATGCGGTTGCAAGAAGAGATGCTTTGAGCCTCCCCTGGCGCGAGTAAATCACGAATCGAGAAATATTGCCTTGCAAAGGAGATCGAAGTGTTTTGGACAGTGGGTGGACTGGGACAAAGATATGATATTCATAGGCAGTAGAGTTGGACATTTGCACAATACTGGGTTTCTCCACGCATTGGAAGTACAGAATTGTCGCGAGAAGTTGAAATGTCTTGCCATCGATTTCGATTGCTGGGAGAAATCTTCTATCTTTTCCTGCACACGAAGAGCGGAATGTACCCCGGCTGCGATGATTTCACGGCTACCGGGACTCCAAAAAGTGGTGCTTGCTCAAGCTTCGGGTGCTTGGCGGGATGGCAATGAATTCGAGGAACATGAACCTGGCAATTACCTCAATATTTGGAGAAGCTTTGACGGGTCCGATCCTCTTATGAAAAAAGATTTCGATGATCTTGTGAGATATGAGAAAGCCAAACATGCAACTTGGATATTACAAAGTTACTACCAAGGAATTGATGTCCGGAAAGCTTTTCCTGAGAAAGTTGACAAGTGGAGATGTTATGACGATAGTCATGAGGAGATTGGCGAGAATCCAGGATCATACAAGCCTGAATATGAATATGCTAATGAGTATAATTACCATTATGGTGGAAGTTGTGGAACTGCATTGATACAATTTGAGAAGATCAAAAATGCCTACTGGTGGGGCACTGGCGATGACCAAAACGATTTCCACTTTCTAAAGGATTGGGTTCAAGAGAAGATTGATAGACTGAAGTCGATTTCCGAGAAGAAATTTCACGGCGATCCTGATTATAATACGTGGAAGCAACCTGAAATCGGTTATGCATTGATACGAAGAACGGCTCCTTCTTGTTTCACAGATGATTGGGAAGGTCTTGAGCGAGAATGGATGTTTTATGGAGAGGCAGCCTGGGCGAGGGACCACCCTAAAAGCTACAAAGCTCGAGATAAATCCAAAGACTATCCAGCAGGCCAACATGTGCAAAAGTATACAAAGCTTTATCCGGCGTCTCAAAGATGGCGTCTCGTCGGTTAGAAGTAATCATTAGCGATAGCTACTTTTAACCCCATGGTGTTCAAAAGCCCGGATTGGAAGATTGCAGTTCAGCACTCAATATTTGGAACAATACAGCACTGGCAGACGATTAAGCCTAAGTACTCGGAATGACCCAAATCTTTTATTTTTTCGGGATTGAACACCCCCTAATTATCGGTTTGCAGCCTGGACTATTGGAATCCTTGTCCTCAACGATATCCTCGATATGGATGGCGATATGAACGTCCTCAATGTAACCACAAAATTTCGCAACAGATAAATACTAGCACCACAAAGATAACACACTTCAGATACCTACGACTGGGAATTACAGAAACTTAGCCTTACGATAGCAATTTACGAGACCAGCTGCCCGACTATGCTTCTGCGACATATGTATCAATGTTGGGCAGAAGTTAGTGCAGAAACTTTTGAAACTCTTCCCAACTTCCGAGTACTACAGCTGATAATGAATCACCCAATCGAGTTATAAGCTGTGCAGAAGATAATTTAGGAATATTGAGATAGTGAAGGGGAATTTTGTTCACCATGGATGATATTAATCAAAGTGCAATCGAATGAAGAGATTTATGCGAATGGTTCAAAATAACACAATCTGCAACCACATCTCCCGCCTCTAATTAATTAGCAGACGTGGAAGATTGGCTCGGATAGCAACAGTGATTGTGACGGATATTCAATCAGTGCAAGAAGGGCCAGTGAAACCAGATTTAGATTGCCAGTTAGAATAAAATATGTTAACTCATTACTACAACGTACACAGGATCGAACAATGGGCGATTATCATGGAGAAACTTGATTTAGAAATTTGATCTTAAGACCACTTGCTCAAACTGAAACGTTTTCTTGAGCTTAGCTTCCTATTCTTTTATAAGTCGAAAGAAACTCAAGGACTAACATGTCCGTCAGAATGACAATTTGAATTTAGTTCTCTAAGTTCTTTTCCAACTAGATAATCTGATTTTAGGAAGAGCATAACCAGAACAAACTTTTAACGAGCTATACGTAATGTCTATCCTATTTCCACTCCTATCTCCGTCATCCGTCACTATTATCACTATAAATGGGATGTCGAATTTGATATCGGGTTTGGTGTGCAAGGACTAGGAAAATCACGAGATAAGAGCTTCATGCCTCGATATCAAGGCATGAAAACTACCAGCCACGGCTTATTAGCTCGCTTAGCCACATCGCTCCAGAACCTTGCGCTAGATACCTAGGTAGGTACCCATGCGCAACTGCCACGACTGCGCGTAGTTTTCAGTAATCTTCACAACCATCAACTGTACCAGATCATGGATCCACCGCGTCGTCGTCGTCAACCTCGTTTCAAAATAACTTGGTGGATGCGAACAAAGTATAACATCAAAAAATGGTTCAGTAAATTGTTCAGTACCCGCTTTGAGCTTCGTGGAAGCGTCACTCGTCTTCGACATATCTATCCGCATCCATACTTAGCCCTCCTTCGTCTTTTCATACCATTTCCATCGTGGAGCTTTCCGTTACCTGAACCTGTTGCCCCTTCAGTCATCGCACAGAACGAAAAATTATACAGAGTTCGCAACGAATGCCATGGAACTCTTCGCAATGTTCCTGTCTGGCAAGCTCGTGACACTCCACTCCGCTGTGTTTACCGCATGTATGAGATCTTGATGATGGGTGATTATGTTCCATTGGGCAGCGAGACAGAATATTTTTGGTATCAGTCGACGGAGAAATGGTCTTTAAGTTCAATACCAGATCCGAAAGATCCTGATCCAATCCGCTATGCAATTGTTGCATGTATAGTGGAAGAGTTAGTACGCGCTTTTAACTGGAGGTTGGCTCTAGGAATGCGTCGAGATGGGAAACACATTCGACGGAAGAACGAAGGTGATCCATATCCCCCGTATACTCAAGTTTTTGGACCCGATTGGACACGTTCTGTACCTTCCATTGAGCCGAATTTGCTAAGAGAATTACCATCTGAAATGGTGACTGAGAGTGGAAAATTGGTTCTGGAAGAACATGGATGCGACGAAAACTTTGAGAAACGGAATATCATCACGAATGTCGGTTGGTTTTATACAGTGTGATTTGATGGAATAAAGACCTTAGGATTGATGGAGCGCAGCACACGTTGTGACAGTAAATGCCAAAAGGTGTTCGAGGAACTAATGCACATATTCTGATCTCTTTTAGAGTTTGATAACCATGATATGATCTCATTGTCGCTGTCAACACCTGTCAAAATTATCCCTCAACTCCCTTACCTTCTGCACACTCTTTAAAGCTTCGTTTTATATCCGATAGCCAAATGACCGTTTAGATTTGTTTAATAAATGCTCGCGTTTCTGTATGTTGTCTGTTGTCTGTCGTCTGTCGCATAGATTTCACCAAGGCATTCGATAATCTAACAACACAACCATTGTTTCAAAATAGAAACTGTCACATCTTACAATTGGCCCCTTAGCTTCTCGAGAAAAGCTCACAAATGTTATCTTTCTGGCAGACTATTAAAACTTTCGAACAAGACACCTATTACACACTGTGTGTGTATGTGATTTTGAGTCTCCAGATTCCCCAAACTATCGCTCTCCTTATCCTCTAAGTCTTCTGCCACGCGCCATACTTGATCACTTTTTTTCCCCTTGGTAAAGACCCAGTTCACTGTGTTGGTATTGCTGTATCATATATGGTACACGTGATGCGGGGTTTGCACCTTCATCTCAGCTTACACTTATCCTGCCTTTTTAGCATTTCACAGATCAATCCTCACCTACCTACTTTGTTTTCATTTAGGATAGGGACTACTTACGCACGTCAGTCATTTCGTGTGTGAATACTTGCCATCTTTCGCTGCTACCAAGAAACCGTGATCAGTAGATGAGCAATATTCATTCATATTTTAACAATAATTTCATCCCAATAAAACAACACCAGCTCTTGATGATTATCTAAGAGACCTGATACATAGTTGTTTTTATTTCACTCAACATAAACCCCTAGGCTCTTTCCAAATATTATATCCTACATATCCTTGTTCCTTCCTCAAAACACTCAATTCCATAGTTCCCACCATCTTTCGTTCCTACTCCATTCCCTCAACCTATCGGTAAGTCACCTTGTTCTTACCTTTCTTTTTTATTCTTCATAAAGATTGATCTTAAAGCTCAGATTTTCATACTTGCTACAGCCCATTGTCATCGATAACACGCACTGTTTCTGTTGAGAAAACAAGAGAGTACGCGAACCCGTTTGACTAAGATATGTCTGACCTTAAAGCGTTCCTGAATGCTGATGACTTCAGACAAGGTCAGTCCCAGTAACATATCCTCAAGTAGAGCGTTCTCTTGCTAATTTGTTGTAGGATTGGAAGAGCTCGACAAAGAAATGGCGAACGACCCGTACCTTGTGGCATTTGCTCCTATTGAGATTCTCACTGCTGGAGGCTTCCTCGCTGTTTGGTATCTTAAGAGCCGCGAGGCTACTGGCGATCTCGATTATATTATTCACCCCGAATGGTCTACAGACGATGAAATCAAGGAACCATTCCATGAGGCTGTGTTGAAAGTTGGAAAAAAATTGAACTTCAATAGAAAGTGGATGAATGAGGACATGAAACTATTCACAACTGGGGCGACCGATGAGCGGCTGTTCAAACAGTCACAGGAAGAGAATTTGGTTCTTTTTAGCGGTAACAATATATTGGTTCGCGCAGCACCAATCGAGTGGGCATTGGAAAGGAAGTTGAGAAGAATCTACGCTGGTGGCAGGGATCGAAAGGCGGAGTTTGATTTGAGTGATGCAGTGGCCATGTTGAAGAATCTGAAAGACACAAAAGGTCCATTGGACAGAGAGTATATTCGGACGCTTAACATGAACGGATTCGATGTGGTACCTGATGACCATACCATGAATCGTGTGGCTGTAGAGTTCCAGAGGGTATATGGAGAGGAGGCTTTCGCTTAGTCACGAGTCGATTATCATCTAAGCATCGTTTAATCAAGAAAATTTGGGACACTGTTTAAATTTGGACGGTGATTTGACTGTCGTGAGATGTTGAAGAGTACCACGAGTATTAATAGTCTTTCAATAACCTAAACAATGTAGTGTGTCTCTATAATACCTCAATACAGAGCCATGTGAATAACGCACTAGCAATAAAAATTGCCTGACAGACTTGGCTCTTCATGTTTCCATATTGTTCGCGTAATGTTCCTCCACCCGCCCAATATTTGTACACCTCATTTGCCCCTGTCCCACATCTGAACCAAACTCCACGAGAGGCTTTCCCCTCGATAAATATTGTATATCCCATGAACTCCATATCTTTCCCTAGTCCAATAGTACAAGAAATGACCCAAGAACACCAAAGTCGAGCCGAGTAGCGTGATTAGAATTGTTATTGCTCCACCTCTCCTTCCTCTTGCTGATCCTCTGCACCAGCCCCGGCCTCAGTTGCGGCCAGAGCAGTTTTGGATTCAAGCTCGGAGTCAAGTTCGTTATCTTTAGGTGCATCATCTTTGGGTGCATCGTCTTTGTCATTTTGTGTAGTATCTTGACTTTCGTCCGGTAGTGTGTTCCCATCGTTCGAAGCCGCAATAGTTTCAGAGCTAGTGTCTTCTCTTCTTGCTCGTTTCGCTAACGGCACTTCTTCTATTTGTTCATCTGCCTTACGTTTTGGGCTGACTATCATGTCAGGATCGATATTTGACGAAGCCCCATTTGTAGATGAGGTTTGGTCATGACTCGAAAGATCATTGGCGGCTGCTTTTAGAGGAGCATCATCTGTTCCAGAGGTAGGCGAAGGTCGAGAATTACCAGTCGTTGAGGTATATGGCTTGCTATCTGGCTGACTATTTTCAAGCTTTTCTTTGGGCTGACTGTCACGAGATTCAGGGTCTGACTGGGAATTGTGCTCCGAAGCATTTGATCCATTCCCATGGACATGACCGTTGCCATTTTGATTTTGAGTACGCTCAGACTTTATAGTAGTATCGGCTCCATTTCGCTCTTCTTTCCCACTTGAAGCATGAAGGTATTTGGCAGCCGTGTTTCCGGGTTGGTCTTGGTCCGTGATCTGAAAAGGACTGTTGCTTAGGAATTTATGCAATATTAGTCCAGCTTCAACAATTTGAGCTTCAGTACCCTCAAGATGCTCCCACCAGTCTTTCCCCTCTATCTGGGGAATTTCGCATTTTTTAGCAGTTGCGGCAAATAGTAGAGTTGTGATTGCAATAATCCGAGGGCTTGTTATGAGACCCAGAGTTGAATGGTGGGTATCGCAGATCAATGCCCATGTGTAATTCCTGAGTTCTTTGATTATGGCAGACTCGACACCCACCTTTGTAAATTCCTCAAAGAACCCCACGAGGTATTTCAGCGGAGATGTCGCAGAAAGGTCGAAACATAATAACTCCAACATAAGCTCCTCATACATTAGAATGCTATCACGCCATCGCCAATATTCTTTAGAGCTGGCATCAACTTCGAGCTTCGGATTCTTCTGAGCAATCTTGATACAGGAGAAAATGAATTGTTTGGTGCCTCGTATAGTCTCTTCGGTCTTTGTCGCGAGGAATAAAGCTGTTGCTGCAATTTCCTGATAGAATAATTAGTATTCATTGCGCCGGAGATTGTATAACGGAGCTAGACAAGCAGAACTCAAGGAAGCAAAATCATAGTAAATAGCGTTGCGATTTCGATACAAATTGTTGTAGGTTTTTATGTCTGAAATGTGGTATAGAAGGATGATTCATTCGAACCCTAGAAATTAGATAAGAAGGAAAATACATACATAGTGATGAATCCCGGTGCAACCCTTTTTGTCTAAAACCATGCTTCTGCGCATATAGAAACGATGAAAGTAAAGACTTGCGACGCTCACGGTGGTCATAGGGATATGTAGCATATTTCCGATCGATGACATGAAAGAAACACCCTTTGCTCTGCGAATACGCTCTTCCTCGGGCGAGAGACCTTCTAGGATAGATGGAGTGGCTTTAAGCTCTGCCTCTGTGAAGAGCCATTGATCGGGAACTTTAGTCGTCATTTCTGATATCAATGCGTGCTTTGTTTGACGGAAAGGTTGTTCGGGAGGTAGGTGATGATTTGACAATCGCGGAGGCGAAGGAACCGCCGGTGGTATGTACTTCTCAGCTATAGTTGAGGCGCAAGAAGATGGAGGTCGAGTATGATTTGAGTGATCATCCGGAAATTCGAATTCGGCAGTAGGATGTTGACTGGCGGTGGTCATAGGAATGAAGAGGTGTGATAGAATTTGATTTGCGATCGCGAGGCTGTTGTAGACGTAAAAACTTGCTTCGTCTACGGGGAGGCTGTCAACCTTAAAAAAGTCTACAATGGCCTTTTGAATTCAGGTGGTGAAAACATGTACAATTCCAATTGTGCTATTGCTAAAATTCATTATCGATGCAATTAATGTCACAACACAAAAAGACAAGACAATTGAAATCAAAATCGCGATAGCTTGAATCGAGCTAGTCATATCTTAGCGTCATTCATGACTTGCACGTGACTTCGTGACTTCGCGCCAAAAATCTACCGCGTCTTGATAGCTAAACCATTTCTTGTCTGCCGTAGAGACATGGTGTAGTATGGAGTAACTTCGTATCAGCTATCAAATTATTAACTCGGCTTAAATTCAAATATATACCGAATGACTGGATACATTCCGCAGGTATGGCGATGACTAGGCGCGTGTCTCTAAATCAACATTCTTCAGGAATTAGCATATCGACGGTCATGTTGCCACGCCACTTCAACGCCGACAATGGTTGTGTTATTTGACTCAATTGAAGTCATGTCGTGAGAGTGAGACCCACAATCAAGTCCAAGTGGATGATCTTTGGCTCTAGCACAAAAGTTTGGGTAGGTTAATTTCTCGTCACAGTTGTAGAGTGTAATGCTTTGTGCAATTTTACTCTAGGGATGAATTCGAGCAGCTCATAGCGGAAGTGTCGCAATATGAGACATTCTTTCTAGACGTGAACCGCATTTCTGCTCAAGCATTCCAACCCTTCATCGCGCCAAGCCTCAAGCTATGCGTCTTGGTTATAGTCAGGATACCCTCATAGATTTCATAAATCTATTGCTGTCATGTAGAAACAATAGCGGGTCTTCAACATCCAACATTATGATTCTATCAAATCTGCTCGTAGCTTCTCTAGGCATCATTTCAGTCACCTCGTCTCAATCATCCAGTGCCACCAATGTTTGCCTAGATGCACTCTCATCAGAGCCTAACGACGCCAAAAGTTTTTGCATACATTATTTAGTCTCGAGCACTATCCCTATCCCTTCATTTGCATCACCGTGTTTGGCCACCGATCCATCTGACAATCAATTATTTAAATCTTGTTACGAGCTGCTTCATCAATTGGAGAACGAAGTTTTACTACCTAAAGTGTCACATCTCGGCGTGATTGAGGGGTCTGTCAAGCGTGGGGAAACATTACCTCGCGACGGAGGCTTCTTTAATACAGGAAGTGTTCCATCAGTAACAACCAACATTGGAACATATGATAATTATGGATGTTTCGAAGATGGCACTCGGGGAAAACCTCTGGGCTCTCCGCTGCTCAATCTGACTGGAACCGCCGCAGACACAATTCAGAGTTGTGTAAATGCATGTTCTATCTCGGGGCAAAATGGAACACCATATCGCTATGCCGGCATAGAGCCTGGATCTTGCTGGTGTTCTAATTATATCTCGATACTCTCCGTTAAAAGCTCTTCATTTTGCCAATCGACCTGCCCGTCGAATTATGGCAAATATTGTGGGGGCATTGTGGGCGGAGTACTTCACATGCAGATATATGAGTTGAAAATTGTGAATCCTACGTCGACGGCATCTGTGAAAACGACATCATCTACTTCTTCCTTGAAGTCTTCTGTTAAGTCATCTATCTCAACCTCACAGTCGGGGACTACATCTTCATCTAAACTCTTGAGTTTGACGATGCAAACGAGTAGTCAAAAGTCTTCGTCGATTTCCAAATCTTCTTCTTCTAGCTCAACCAACCTCATTTCTAGCATATCAACAGTCCCTGCATTTCCCACAACGAGCAATATACCATCTACATCTCTTCCACCAATTATCGAAATATCATCTACCACTAAATCATTTGGTCTACCTCCTGACCCTCCAATAATTCCTCCAATCGTCGGTCCTACAGGCACAGAAAGTTACAGTCTACCATCGGGTACTTTCGCTTACCCAAGTGAACTATCAACTTCCACACCGTCATTCGGCTTGCCTCCCGACCCTCCAACCATTCCTCCTATCGTTGGTCCTACTGGTACCGACAGTTACATCCAACCGTCGGGTACCTTTGCTTACCCGAGTGAACTCTCTACCACAGGTAAGTCTAACCCTTGGGCATCTCTAACACTTGAAGAGCCCGAATTTTGGACACAAGTCCCTTCTAACGCAGTTGCAGGCTTTGTGGAACCAATGACTACTCTCCAACCTATCTCCACAGCAACATCTCCCCCTCAAAAGGTTAAACGCGAGTATGATATCACCGCTCCTAACAGTCCATGGCTTCATCTGCTTCCCCTAAACTCCCCAGATATCCTTAAGGAAGTTCTTCCCGGCCAAGTTCCAGGATGGGATCAACACGCCATAGCTAAAGAGAAAAGACTCAAGTCTCGGGAATATGATATAAATGCTCCAGATAGTCCCTGGCTTCCTCTTCTCCCTCTAACTTCTCCAGAAATTCTCAAAGAGGTCGCTCCTGATCAAGTTCCGGGTTGGAAACAACAAGCTATTATTCCGAGATCTGATAAAATGAAACGCGAATACGATATCAATGCCCCCGACAGTCCCTGGAAACCCCTCCTTCCTCTTACCTCCCCAGATATCCTCAAAGAAGTCGCTCCCGGCCAAGTTCCCGGCTGGAAGCAACAACCCGTCTCCCCGCCCCCCTCACCCGCAAAACGCGAATACGATATCAACGCCCCCGACAGCCCTTGGCGCCCCGTCCTTCCCCTCTACACCCCCTCCATCCTCAAATCCATTCCCGAAGACCAAGTCCCCGGGTGGCGAGGCCAAGCTTCTGCACCACTCATCCCCGATTCCGACATTCCCCCAAGAACCAAATCTAGATCTAAACCTAAACCCAAAACCAAACATCGCCGCCAACTCGGGCCTCTCCCAGAAAACTTCCTCGAACCCCCCGGCCGTCCAGATTTCATCAAGACTCACCCAGAAAAAAACAACAACAACCCTCTCCCCGCCCCCTTCCACAAAATCCTCAATGCCATCGACCCCCACACCGGCAAAAAACTACCCTTCCTATC